GCTACGGAGATTTACCTGATTATCTTTTCCAATGCTTAATGTAATTTTCCATCTTCCCTGAGAACCACTGGATTCTGAAAGGGAAACTTATTCGGTTACTAGTGGCCCAAGGACTGGTACAAACAAACGCAGGGCAGATCATGGAGGATGTAGCAGAAGAAAATATATATGAATTGATCAGCCATGGAATGCTTCAAGTTAAGGACGACCGCCCTTGCAGAGGGACTAGATTGCAGCTCCCATCTCCTTTTTGAGAATTTTGTCTTCATCAATTGGAAGAAGGAACCTTTCCAACTGTTCGGGCTTTAATTTGTTCGGAGTCTTCGGACATCACAAAACTCTCATCCCACTTGAACAATCTCCAACTTCAACCTACTTATTTGCCCCTGTTGGAAATCATAGTCATTTTCGCTATGATGGTAATTGGTTACAGTTTAATGGTACAAACTATTTAAGGGTGCTAGATCTAGAAGGCACCAAAATTAAAAGGTTACCAGATGAAGTGCGAGACCTGATAAACCTCATGTATCTTGGCTTGAACCACACAGATATTATTGAGCTTCCAGAGGGAATCTGTAGATTAAAAGCACTACAAACTTTCAATATCAGATGGTGTGGGTGTTTAACAGCCTTGTCAGATGAGATACTCAATCTTGTAAGGTTGAGGCACCTCAAAATGTTCAAGAGCATATTCGAAGATGTTCATGGGATGAAGCTACCTGCAGGAATAGGAAGCTTAAAAAATCTTCTGTCCCTCATAGCCATACATGCTGGTGGTGGAATTGCTGAAGAATTAGGTAACCTGATACAACTCAGAAGACTTGGAGTGATGGATGTGGCTGAAGAGAATATCAGTGAGCTATTTGTCTCCATAACAAAAATGCCGGCTCTTCCTTCCTTGTCTCTCGAAGCTAAACACGTATTCAACAAGGGAAACCTTATCCTCCCGGATTCATTCTCACCTCCACCATTTCTTCAAAAGCTTCGCCTAGAAGACGTCCTAGAAAAGCTACCTACTTCATTTGGTTCCTTGGAAAGGCTTACAAATTTAAGACTAGGCAACTCTCATACGTCTGAGGACTTGTAATTGGTACTTCATCTGCTACTCAACTTGAAAAATCTGACCCCTTGGAATGCTTATGATGTAAAACGAATGGGGAACGAGTTCTGTAGTGCTGGTGGGCTTCCCAAGCTCGAGGTTCTCAGCTTTGCTTATCATGTTCTTGAGTACTGGACGCAACTTGAAGAGGGAGCACTGCCTAGCTTGAAATTCCTCCACTTGCACAGTTGTCTGCATGTGGCAGAGGATGTTACCTGAAGGTTTGCAGTTTGCCACCACACTGCAGCAGTTAGACTTGTTGCCTTTACTGGATGATCATGCAGAACGGCTAAAACCTGATGGCGGAGAGGAGAATTACAAAATTAGGCACATGCCAAATATATCATTTATTACCATATCTATGGTGCAACAATTGGCCACCGGTTAAGAAATATATAGATATGATAAAGTTTGGAGAAGCTCAGATGGAGGGGTGAGCCAATGCGGGTGAAAGGATAAAGTTATAAGCTTTCTGGTATATTTGTGTTTCTTCATACAATGGAGTCTGTATATCAGGCCATAAGAGGAGTTGATGTTATAGATGATAAAACGCGAAGTTAAAACAAACAAAACCAATTCAAGATTCCAAACCATTTTGCTTATCTCAGAAAGTAAGGGCCTTTTCAAATTTCAGTACTTTAAAAGAAATCTATCATTCGTATTCGTAACAAAGATAGCTTGTGAATTGATGTTTATAGCCCAATACAAGGAAGATTTTGATCAAACAATAATTCACTACCTTTAATCCAGCTAAGCCCCGTTATCTTCCTCAGTTTGCCTTCTGTCATGTGATCTCTCAACTTCTTTGCATCATCCCACCTCCCATCGCCAGCATATATATTAGAAAGCATGACCCTATAAGCACCTTTCTCGGAACTACTCTCAAAGAGCCTCTGGGCTACAATTTCTGCCAGCTCAGAATTTCCACAGACATCGCAGCACAATAACAGGGCTCCCCAAATGCCGCAGTCCACTGGTTCTGGCAAGGACAAGATTAGATTGTAAGCCTCTTCCAATCCTCCTTCCATCCCAAGAAGTTTTACCATATGAACATAATGCTCTGTTCTAGGTTGAATGCAAAACTCATCCTTCATTCTTCTGAAAATTTCACGGCCATCTTTGACAATGCCAGCATGGCAGCACGCACCAAGGAGAGCAGTAAAAGTATATTCATCAGGTTTTAACCCGTTTCTCAGTATCTCATCAAACATTCTAAAGGCCTCAGAGGCAAGTCCATGCAAACCAAGACCCAATATTAATGAATTGTAGGAAATAATATTCTTTTCTGGCATGATCTCAAACACACGAGTCCCCATGCCCAAGAAACCGCACTTTGAATACATGGCTATGAGAGCAGAGGAAATCATGACATGAGATTCAAGTCCATGTCGAAGAACATAAGCATGAATCTCACAGCCAGGCCCTACATTTGCTATCTGAGCAGCAGCAGCCAACACACTGGCAATCAAAATGGAATCAGCCTTCTTACCTTCCATGTTCAAATTCTTGAAGAAGAACAATGCCTTACCATAATCCCCAGACTGTGAATACCCAGTTATCAAAGCAGACCATGTAACTAAATCTGGCTGGAACAAACCACTAAAAACTCTATGTGCAGAGTTCATACACATGCATCTTGAATACATGCTCACAAGGACACTGCTTACATGAGCATTAGAATCTAAATTACATTTCAAACAAAGACCATGTAGTCCTTGGCCAATAGTTATCAAGCTGGAATCCGATAAACCCAAAAGCAACCCAACAATTGTGTATCCATCCGGCATCATCTCCATGCTTCTCATCTCACTAAACAGTTGCAACCCTTTGTCCCAACGTCCACAGTTTCCATAAGCTGAAATTATAGAATTCCACAAAACCAAATCCTGCTGTGGTGTCCCATAAAACACCCTACTTGCTTCATCAACAAGGCCGAGTTTTGAATAAGCTGTAACAAGTGCACTGCTACAAATAGAGTCCAATCCTAACCCTGAAACTGTTACTCCACAATGGACAAGCTTCAGTCCTTCCAAATCAAAGCTCTCAGAGCATGCACGTATAATGCAAGCATAAGTGAAGTTATCAGGTCTGATTTCGGTTCTAAGCATCTTAGTAAACAGAGAAAATGCTTCCTCAAATTTGTGGGCTTGAGCGTGGGCTCGAATTATGGAGTTCCAAAGGTAGACGCTTTGGCTGGGACTTTCATCGAACAGCTTACAAGCAGAGTGAAGGTCACCATTGACTGCATAGAATCTAACGATTCTAGTTGCATAAAATGGGTCGTGGGAGAGATGGGTCTTGAGAATCAAAGCATGCAACTGCTTGGCTCTTGATAAAGATAAATAAACCTTGGAGAGGTCCAAGTGAAGCAAATGGAAATGAAGGAACATAACTTTTAAGTTAGGACATCAATTTTGACACATGGGTTCTGGTATTTTTGTTGAAAATAGAATATGATAGCATATATGGGAAGAACTCATATGTTCTTAACAGAAGAAGAGGAAGGCATTAACACTGGAACTTGCCCAGAATTATCAAATGAGTGAAACTCACATTGCCATTTGGATTGCAGGTTTCAGAGCTAGGGCTTCAGCCCAAGCAGAAAAGAGATGAAAACAATCTAGGAGGAGACGAACAAAATACTTATGGACTGGGAAAAAAAACTCAAGGAGGTGGTTACACAACTCGAGGAGATCAACAGAAAACACTCAATGAGAAAGTAACAAAACTTGAGGAGATATATGGATGTACAGAAGTCGAGAAGATGGATGCCCTGTTGCCATCTGCATGCTAATAGAAATTTGCGGAAACACAAAAGGGAATGATAACTGAACAACTTTTTGAGGGAAAAAACCACGTATAGCCGCTCGGCTATACTTTTATAGCCGAGCGGCTCTACTGTTCTTTAGAAAAAACACCAAGTATAGCCGACCGGCTATACCTTTTTTTTTTTGGGTAAAAAGGGCCTGGCGATTCCGCACTACGTGTCAAAACGGTAGCCGGGCGGCTATACTATTTTTATAAAAAAGAGGGAGTTGGCGCCATGTGTCAAAAAGGTATAGCCGGTCGGCTTATTATAGCCGTACGGCTATACACTGTAAGTATATTATATTTAAAAGGAGTTTTTTCACAATAAAAATATCCAGAACAAACATATATTACTGAAAGTCAGCTTAACCACAACTTACATACAATCCGAATCCGAATCCGAATGATATGGATTGCTTTCCTTTTGCTTGTCTTGTGTTGAGACTGTGTTGTGTTGAATTAGGGTTTTTCAGAGAGGGAGAGAGACGAAAGAGGGGCAGTGAGAAATTGATAATTAAAATAGATTTGACGTGAACAAGCGTAGGGTAAACATACTGAGCTCCACCAAACTGACCGTCCATTTGCCATGTTTTTACTCACGGATCATGCCACGTCATTTCATTTTGTACAGATGAAATAGATGATAATTTTTTAGGTTTTTTAGGTTTTAGACATAAAAAAAATTTCACTTTTGGAAAAAGCCAAAGCTTTTTCAAAAAAGACAAAAAAATCACTCAACTTTCAAATCAAAGACATGCAAATGTATTGGATTCCTTAGGAAATCTAAAAATAAAAAAGGGCATTTTTATCCATTTTTGCTTCTTTTAAAATTTTTCTCTCTCCTTTTGCTTTTTCCAAAATGTCTCTAATTTTTTTTTTCATGTAAGTTTTAAATCTTTTAAGTTTTTAGAAAATTACAAAGATTTATACTTTATAGATAGGAAGCAAGATTTATAGACTTTGCCAGAATTTCAAAGGTTTGACTTCAACCTTGGACTTTTTTAGTCTCATAGCTTTCAGCTGTCTGCTACCCTACCCTCAGTAACTGCTTTCACATTGAATTATGGAACTTCAAAGAACTGTGGAAGTTTGATATTGTCTTGGATTGAGTATTTAGAATATCAAAAAAGGTTTGCTTGAAATGTCCACCATCCAAATCAGAGCATGCAATTGTTTGGTTCTTGCGTAGATTGATTTTCCAAATGAAAAAAGAAGCATGGCTAATCATGCAGTGAGTGATGGAGGAGGAGCAGGGGGAGCAGACCATATCCCAAAGGAATTTCTGATCGGTGGGGGTGGTGGCCTTGTAAATCTTCTTGTTTGTTGCAGCCTCCTCAATCTCAGCAGCACTTGCCTGCCTTTGTTAAGGTTCATACTTTGACATCCAAAGCAACCTTCTCTCCTTGAAAATGTGTATCTTGAGCCATCTTTACTGTCAGGCGCAAATGCTGAAGTCCTCTGCTTACCACCTTATTTCATGCCAAAAAAAATATCAATTCATGCATACATGAACGCTAATACATGGCTGATGAAATTCTCAAACACAATAACTACTAACATGAAAAACCATTACCAACTGGAATCAAGGCAGAAGTTGCTGCAAAATCCCCCAGAACAAGCAACACGGTGGCTGCAAGTACCGTAAATTTTGCTGGAAAACCATTCATTTTTCTGACTACAAAAACATTCAATTTCTGAAACAGAACCAACAACTTATAGTTGTTGCATACTGTAATTTCTGTGACATGAAGAAGGCACGAGCAAGCAAGATTTATAGACGATACTTTTTATTACAGATACTTGTATAAATTTGGTGCTAAATTCTTGCAGATGAGGCAACAAGTTAAAAGACAATTACTTGCCTAGTGAATATATTAATTAAGTACATATGATGAGTAATGCTGAACGCAGTAAATTTATTCATCAAATTTATATACCAAATGAAGCGGTACTGTGTAACATTACTTAGAGTTTCTTGCAACTTCAATGAAGAACAAATGTTGGAGGAGATGGAAAGAAAAAATATCGAAACACTGTTGGAGACCAGACCTTAAGAAGTTGGATACAAAACTCAAGAAGTTGGAAAGGAAACAAATGGAACAGGACAAGTTAAGAGTGCACGTAATTGGATTTCCAAGAGTGAACTTACCAAATATGGCAAATATGGGATTTCAAATCCATTCCTAAGTTCCTAAACCTTCAACTTAGCGGCTTTATTAGAGAGCAGTCTGTTGAAGGCATTACATCATTATCAGAATAAATGATCTTATGTGTTTCTATGTGTTCTATGGCATTATTCAGATTCTGTTTTTATTTATTTATATTCTTTTGAGGCTGTTTTAATCCTCATGGAACATTGGAATAAAACAATGCAAGTACCAAAAATAATTTCTGGAGACTGATTACCTTCCCAATGTGTTTAACACCTACAGAAACATGAATGAAGCCAAGAAGAGGGTCTCTATAAATTGCCATCTCAGAAACAAGTTGTCAAAAAGGAAAAAGAAAAGGACTTGGAACAAAAAAGGATGTCAAGAGCTAACAATGAACGAAATGGTCCCTGATAATGATGCCAGTTTGGTGTTTGAGGTGAATGAACCCAATATGATAGCTTATATGGGAAGAACTCATATGTTCTTAACAGGAGAAGAGGAAGGCATTGACACTGGAACTTGCCCAGAATTCTCAAATGAGTGATACTCACATTGCTATTTGGATTGCAGGTTTCAGAGCTAAGGCTTCAGCCCAAGCAGAAGAGATAAAACCAATCTTGGGGGAGATGATTACAAAAGTCATGGACTGGGAAACAAAACTCACGGAGTTTGTTACACAACTCAAGGAGATCAACAGAAAACTCAATGAGAAAGCAACAAAACTTGAGAAGATATATGGATGTACAGAACTCGAGAAGATGGATGCCCTGTTGCCATCTGCATGCTAATAGAAAAATTTGTGGAAACACAAAAGGGAAGGAGGGAATGAGAACTGAACAAGTTTTTGAAGCACCAAATGAAGTGGATATCAAGTAGAGGATTTATTCAGAGGCTTAATTGGAGCAGTTTGTTAAAGGGGTGCCTAAGTCACACAAGTGGTGAAGAAAATAACATATTCAGACACAATTACATACTTTTAACTCAAGTGGCTTGTAAAGACCCCACAGCCAGATGGAAGGCAACAAATTAAAGCACTAACTTCCTTAGGGAATGAATAACATCCATAGAGCAAGTAAATATAGGCCAACTTCTATGAGTGAGGACAGAACATTCTGCACAGTAATTGGTCTTAGGCTGCGCCCATTATTTTCTTGCAAAAATTCTCACCTTGACATCCAAAGGTACCTTGTTTTCTTCCAATATGTATCTCTGCCAAGCCATCTCTACAGTCAATATGCCATAAACTACTCTTCCCACGACCTTCAGCCATACAAGAAAATCAAAGCAAGCAAGAAATTAATTACCAGATGATCAAGTTATCAATGTAATTAGCTAATCACAGGGAGATGTTATCAATTACCATGAGGAAGTAATGTTTCACAAGTTGCTTGGAAATCCCCCATAAGAAGCAACACTAGTGCTGCAATTACCACCAACTTTGCTGGAAAGCCATCCATCTTCATCAGAAGCAGAAACAATAACTTAAGATAACCTTATCGCCTCACGATGAGAAGAAGGCAAGGAAAGCAAGATTTATAGACTGCCAGATTTTCAAAAGTTTGACTTCAACCTTGGACTTTTTCAGTCCCATAGCTTTCAGCTGTCTGCTACCCTACCCCTCAAAATAACTGCTTTCACATTGAAATATGGATCTTTCAACAGAATCTGCTTACGGTTGCACCAGACCTTAAGCTTAATGGCAGTGGAACTGGAAACTGTAAAGTTTTTGGAAGCACCAAAACAAGTGGAGATGAAGAGGACCCTTAATTACCTCCTCCATCATCCTTAATTTTAGTCCTTCAAATTTTATTCTTGTATTTTCCTTTCTTAGCTACTTAGCTACTTGTATAGATTTGGTCCTTGTGAAATGCATACAACAATCATTATAAAAATCTGTGAATTAACGCCCAAAACTAAATATGGACTTGCAAATGAGGCAACAAGTTAAAACTATAACTTGCCTAAGGAATTATTGACATCCATAGATTAAGTACATAAGAGAAATGTCAAACGCACCAAATTTATTCATCAGTTTTTGTTCACCAAACGCACCAGGCAATTACTTGCCTAGGGCATAGATTAATTAAGTACATTTGATGAGTAATGCTAAACGTACTAAATTTATTCATCAAATTTTGTATACCAAATGATGCGGTACTGTGTAACATTACTTAGGATTCCGGAGAGTGAGTATCATTGAATGATGGCGGAGGTGGTGACGGTGGAAGAGGCAGATAAGGTCGGAAGTGCTTAGGGAAGTTTTTGGTGGGAGAAGGTGGCTTGGGCCCTCTCAATGGTCTTAGGTTGCGTCGGATGGGCACTATTTTCTTGCTAAAAATGTCAGTTTGACATGATCCAAAGCTACCTTCTTTTCTTCCAGTATTTATCTTTCTCAAGCCATCTCTTGTACAGTCAACATGCGACAAAGTACTCTTCACAATACCTTGATCAGCTTCAGCTAGCCATAAAAAGAAAATCACAGCAAGCAAGCAAGAAATTAATTAATTTAATTACCAGCTAAAGCATAATGTCATTAATGTAACTAGCTAATTACCTACCGCGAAGAAAAGCACATGTTGCTTGGAACTCCCCCATGAGAAGCAACACTAGTGCTGCAATAACCAGCATAAACTTTGCTGGAAAACCATTCATCGTCGGAGGTAGAAAGCAGAACCTTTCCTAGCAGCTTCAGGATATTGCCGTGTCCAATGAATGCTAGAAATATCCTTGTAGTTGAATTTTGTGTAAACAAGTGGCTGGGCAGCCAAGTCCTATACCCAGCTCTCATGCAGCCCAGCAGGTGTGGGGCTTAGCTATCGCGTCAACGTTGTCTCTTTGCGATGAAGACAAGGGGAAGCAAGAATTATAGGCATTGTGTAGTTGGTTTGAAGAAGGAATTTTACATGCCGTGTTTTAGATTTTCAAAAAAGCTTTGGTAACTTGACTTTGACCTCAGAATTTTGATACAGCCCATTGTATGACAATTCTCCTAACTGTAGGCGGCTTTTGACCAAGAAGCCGCAGTTGGTTTTTCTTCCAGGAAGCTTCCCTGTCCAGTGCTTTTGGCATTTCACGTTTCTTTTGCACTCAATTAAATTGCTTTGTAATCTAGATCAGAACAACAACACATTAGGTTACTAAATATGTAGGTTAGCATTCGATGTTGTTGCTCAGGAAAACTTGATACGTGTTTTAAGTTCCTTGTGAAAAATTGAAGAGATAATTATGGATTTTTATACTTGCAAAAATATTCAAACCCATTTACATACTTCGACTCAAGTCGCTTGTACAAAGACCAAATGGACTTGCAAATGAGGCAACAAGTATCTTCCCTAGGGAACAATGGGAAAAGAAATAAACATAGGTATCCGGCCATCATATAATAAGCAGAGGAGTGCAGTAGCGCCCTGTGACTTTCGTGGATTTTTAGTCGGTGAAGGCAGAGAGGTTGTAACGATTATTCTTAGGCTGCAGATGGGCACTGTATTCTTGCTAACAATGTCACTTTGACATCCAAAGCTACCTCCATTTCTTCCAATAATCTTTCTCATGCCATCACTGCAGTCAATGTGCGACAAAGTCTTCTCGCCACCTTCAGCCATAGAAGATCACAAGAAGCAAGAGATGTTAATAGACACAAAGTTTGATATATTAAAGGGAATAGTACAACATATGTAAATGCAGAATGAAATGTTAATAAGTGGTAAATCATACAACTTTATCAAGTCATGAGTGGGTCTTAGTCAACATGGTCAACTTCAATGGAACTGATAGACATCTCATCACAGGAAAGATATTATTACCATGACGAAGTAATGTAGAAGTTGCAGAAGAAACACCCACAAGAAGATAAACTGCCACAACAACTAAAACAAACTTTTCCATAAAGCTGCTCATCTTGGAAGAAGGAACCTTTCCAACTCTTCGGGCTTTAATTTGTTCGGAGTCTTCGGAGCTCACAAAACTCTCAAACTTTCATTTGGTTCCTTGCAAAGGCTTACAAATTTAAGATTAGGCAACTCTCATATGTCTGAGAACTTGTAACTGGTACTTCATCTGCTACCCAACCTGAAAAATCTGACCCTTTGGAATGCTTATGATGCAAAACGAATGGGCAAAGAGTTCTGTAGTGCTGGTGGGTTTCCCAAGCTCGAGGTTCTCAGCTTTGCTTCTCATGTTCTTGAGGACTACTTGAAGAGGGAGCACTACCTAGCTTTCGTCCACTTGCACAGTTGTCTGCATGTGGCCAAGGATGTTACGTGAAGGTTTGCAGTTTGTCACCACACTGCAGCAGTTAGACTTGTTGCCTTTACTGGATGATCATGCAGAAAGACTAAAACCTGATGGTGGAGAGAAGAATTACAAAATCAGGCACATGCAAAATAAATCATTTATTACATATCTATGGTGCAACAATTGTCTACCGGCAAAGAACTATAAAGACATGATAAAGTTTGGAGAAGCTCGGATGGAGGGGTGAGCCAATGCGGGTGAAAGGATAAAGTTATAAGCTTTCTGGTATATTTGTGTTTCTTCACACAATGGAGTCTGTACATCAAGCCATTAGAGGAGTTGATGTTATAGATGATAAAACATGAAGTTAAAACAAACAAAACCAATTCAAGATTCCAAAACATTTTGCTTATCTCAGAAAGTAAGGGCCTTTTCAAATTTCAGTACTTAAAGAAAAATCTATCATTCGTATTCGTAGCAAAGATAGCTTGTGAATTGATGCTTATAGCCCAATACAAGGAAGATTTTGATCAAACAATAATTCACTACCTTTAATCCAGCTAAGCCCCGTTATTTTCCTCAGTTTGCCTTCTGTTGTGTGATCTCTCAACTTCTTCGCGTCATCCCATCTCCCATCGCCAGCATATATATTAGAAAGCATGACTCTATAAGCACCTTTCTCAGAACTACTCTCAAAGAGCCGCTGGGCTACAATTTCTGCCAGCTCAGAATTTCCACAGACATCGCAGCACAATTACAGGGCTCCCCAAATGCAGCAGTCCACTGGTTCTGGCAAGGACAAGATTAGATTGTAAGCCTCTTCCAACCCTCCTTCCATCCCAAGAAGTTTTACCATATGAACATAATGCTCTGTTCTAGGCTGAATGCAAAACTCAATCCTTCATTATTCTGAAAATTTCACGGCCATCTTTGACAAGGCCAGCATGGCAGCATGCACCAAGGAGAGCAGTAAAAGTATATTCATCAGGTTTTAACCCGTTTCTCAGTATCTCATCAAACATTCTAAAGGCTTCAGAGGCAAGACCATGCAAACCAAGACCCAATATTAATGAATTGTAGGAAATAATATTCTTTTCTGACATGATCTCAAACACGAGTCCCCATGCCCAAGAAACTGCACTTTGAATACATGACTATGAGAGCAGAGGAAATCATGACATGAGATTCCAGTCCATGTCGAAGAACATAAGCATGTATCTCACAGCCAGGCCATACATTTCCTATCCGAGCAACAGCAGCCAACACACTGCCAATCAAAATGGAATCAGCCTTCTTACCTTCCATATTCAAATTCTTGAAGAAGAACAATGCCTTACCACAATCCCCAGACTGTGAATACCCAGTTATCAAAGCAGACCATGTAACTAAATCTGGCTGGAACAAACACTAAAAACTCTTATTGTGCAGAGTTCATACACAATGCATCTTGAATACATGCTCACAAGTACACTGCTTACATGAGCATTAGAATCTAAATTACATTTCAAACAAAGACCATGTAGTCCTTGGCCAGTAGTTATCAAGCTGGAATTCGATAAACCCGAAAGCAACCCAACAATTGTGTATCCATCCGGCATCATCTCCATGCTTCTCATCTCACTAAACAGTTGCCACCCTTTGTCCCAACGTCCACAGTTTCCTTAACCTGAAATTATAGAATTCCACAAAACCAAATCCTGCTGTGGTGTCCCATAAAACACCCTACTTGCTTCATCAACAAGGCCGAGTTTTGAATGAGCTGTAACAAGTGCACTGCTACAAATAGAGTCCAATCCTAACCCTGAAAGTGTTACTCCACAATGGACAAGCTTCAGTCCTTCCAAAGAAAAGCTCTCAGAGCACGCACGTATAATGCAAGCATAAGTGAAGTTATCAGGTTTGATTTCGGTTCTAAGCATCTTAGTAAACGGAGAAAATGCTTCCTCAAATTTGTGGGCTTGAGCGTGCGCTCGAATTATGGAGTTCCAAAGGTAGACGCTTTGGCTGGGACTTTCATCGAACAGCTTACAAGCCGAGTGAAGGTCACCATTGACTGCATAGAATCTAACGATTCTAGTTGCATAAAATGGGTCGTGGGAGAGATGGGTCTTGAGAATCAAAGCATGCAACTGCTTGGTTCTTGATAAAGATAAATAAACCTTGGAGAGGTCCAAGTGAAGCACATTGAATGAAAGAACTTTTAAGTTAGGACATCAATTTTGTGACATGGGTTCTGATAGTTTTGTTGAAAATAGAATTTGCCTACCCAGCTTTGTTTGGGCGCGTCTTCTTTGGGAGACTCAACGTGGCCCACAATTTTTTTTTTTATTTAAAATACAAGCGATACTTTATAAAGATGGAGATTCGAACTTGAGTGTAAGAG